AATAATAATAATAATAATAATAATAATAATAATAATAATAATAATAACAGTAATAATAATTATATCAAAGAAAAACCTAAAGAAGCTACTGTATAAGGCGTTGTTTTTGTATGACAACCAAGTGACAAGGATGCCTGCAGCGCCAGCACAACATCATGACGTCACATGCGCCTTTGAGTTTAGATTTGTGAAAATGTACAAATTTGCATTGTTGGAGTGTTGTCACTGTGTTAGAGAGAGTAAATGACATGAATAATTTTGACATTAAATCCTAGTTGAAGTGTTACATCATTGTCAGCCCCTATTTGGCATCTGCATTTGGTAGCAGTCCAAATTGACAAAGACCGTGCAGAATAATGTAGTATTTTAATTCCACAGCAGAAACGGCTATGAAGTCTCTGTAAGTAGGTCTAGGGAAAAATATTGGTATCAGCCAAATAAGTTTTAACATATCCGCATATCAGCCAAAAATCCAATATTGTGCATCCCTAATTATGGTAGTATGTTTACCTTTGTGTTTTGTTGCATTGTTACTTTCACCTTGTGGTGTAGACTCGATAATGCACAACTATTTTATTGACATTTCTCATATGGACGAAGATATTTTAGAGTCTAAAATAAAACTATATGCAATTTGAGCTTTTCTACCTCTGTTTTTGCACCTAGTCAAGCCAGAGGAGTTACACTCTGACTAACATCTATATTTCCAGTGAAAAATATATATTTTAAACAAAGTTATCCTTTCTAAATATTATTTGGGTAAGTATAAGGCAGAGGCTAAGTGAATAAAACAATAGGCATTTTGAGCTGTTCTAGAAAGTGACTACTTTTTATAGACTCTGTATTTTTAAGTGAACTACAAAACCTTATATTTATAGGTACAGCAGCAACTTCATCTTTATGTTTAAGATAAAACATCGACTCTTCTTGTCTTTCTTGTCTTTCAAGCTAATTTCAGCACAACACAAGGTAAAATCATGAACACTTGTTGCTTGGATACTAGCTCTCCTCTGTTAAGACTGTGTGCGCTCAGATGCTTTAATGTGCTTTAATGTGTGTGAGAAGGTTTCCAAGACTCACTGGTCACTGCTGTACATGAAGCTGTTGCTAAGGAACCCTATACTCTGTTCACGTCACACCGTGCATTTACCTCATGGTCCAAGTTATAAAAATCTGTCAGGCTAGCTTGGCAATTTTGCTTCTTTATGTTTGAAGTACTCCTTAAATAAATGTGTGTGTTTGTTCAAACCTGTGTATTATGGTGAACAAATCTTCAGTGGTGTGTGTCGTAGTTGTGCTGGCCAACAAATTGTCCTCTGTTTCCTCAGCGATGTGGAGGACAGACTTCTCATCCTGAGCTGACTCATCTGTATAACGAACAGAAATCACATTTAAAAAAGTTGTTTCTGTTTTATTCTTTGTTTCTATGGTTTGCAAAAAACACCATGTTTGAACTTGTTTAAAAAAATTAAATGAAGACTACTCGTACAAAAAGAATTAGGTATTTTCATGATAATAAAAATATCACAGATGGAGTATAAATTACTGATTTTATTTTGTCCTTTAATTTGACTTTAAAATCAATGTCAAACATGGCTGCCACAGCTGAGGTACATTAGTAAAGACAAAAAAGGCTTGGATTCATTCAGGAATCATCCACATATACTTAGCATAAACTGATAGTGCAAAATCTGTTTAAAACTTGTCCATAATTGTTAGTCAAGTCTTTCTGTTAGCAAAATTTGTTATAAACACAAGTCGAAATTTAATGAAACTTTAAAAAAGTAATAATTAGAGGTATATCTACAAATGATTACATTCGGAATTCAACTCTATTAAAGATGGTCAATAAAGTCAACTGACCATAGCGACAAACAAAAATTGGCATAACTCAGTCAGTACTAATGTTGAGCTAAATGTTTTATGTGGTAGTAGCTAAGCATCATCTGAAACACATACGCTGAGTGTTACAGACTGGGCGACATCTCTGCACAAATCACTTGACAAATTCATTTAAACTCTAGAAAGATAAACATTAGATGCAAGTCTACAACTGAAAAACTTTTGGAGTCAACCACAAATCCAGATGTGTGCCAGAGATAACCTAGAGAGAAGTGAGCCAACTCAGAAATGGTTCCAACTTAGTCAGACTTACAGATATTGAATTAAAACGTAGTGTGGTAGTAGCTGAGGATATTTCCTAAAACATACTCTGAGTCCTAACAGATTGCAGAAGATCTTGTGATATAGCATGAAATCATAACACTATTTTCAAGATAGGACCAAAATGACTTAAATTTTGTTCTCACATAACATAAGATCTTAGTACCATATTTTCCACCGTACACGTTGCACCGCCCTATAAGTCACATCAGTCTGAATATGTCTAATAAAGTGGAAAAATCCATAAATATGTTGCTTTGCCGTATACGTCGCATCTATTATGCATCACCTCTGACGTGTTGCGTTTGTTACGCATCACCGCTGACAACATGGAAATGTGGGCCGGTGATGTGCCAAAAATCAATTGGCTGCCAAATGGCGGCCGCAGGGGGGTGCACGGGAGGACTTTAACAAGAATTTAACGGAAACATGAACATGAAGAGGGCGACTTTCTGTCTATTTCTTCGAAATTTAACAAGATAACCACCTAAAAACAATTACAAACCGGATTCCAAAAAAGTTGGGACACTAAACAAATTGTGAATAAAGACTGAATGCAATGATGTGGAGATGGCAAATGTCAATATTTAATTTATAATATAACATAGATGACAGATCAAAAGTTTAATCTGAGTAAATGTATAATTTTAAAGGAAAAATATGCTGATTCAAAATTTCAGTGTCAACAAATCCTAAAAAAGTTGGGACAAGTAGCAATAAGTGGCTGGAAAAAGGAAATTGAGCATAAGACAAACAGCTGGAAGACCAATTAACACTAATTAGGTCAATTGACAACATGATCGGGTATAAAAAGAGCTTCTCAGAGTGTCAGTGTCTCTCAGAAGCCAAGATGGTAAGAGGATCACCAATTCCACCATTGTTGCGCAGAAAGATAGTGCAGCAATACCAGAATGTTGTTACCCAGCATAAAAAAGCAAAGACTTTTAAGTTATCATCATCAACCGTGCATAACATCATCAAAAGATTCAGAGAATCTGGAACAATCGCTGTGCGTAAGGGTCAAGGCCGTAAAACTCTACTGGATGCTCGTGATCTCCGGGCCCTTAAACGTCACTGCACCTCAAACAGGAATGCCACTATCAAGGAAATAACAGAATGGGCTCAGGAATACTTCCAGAAAGCATTGTCAGTGAACACAATCCACTGTGCCATCCGCCGTTGCCAGCTGAAACTCTACAGTGCAAAGAGGAAGCAATTTCTAAGCAAGCTCCACAAGCTCAGACGTTTGCACTGGGCCAGGGGTCATTTAAAATGGAGTGTGGCAAAATGGAAGACTGTTCTGTGGTCAGATGAGTCACAATTTGAAGTTCTTTATGGAACACTGGGATGCCATGTCATCCGGACCAGAGAGGACAAGGATAGCCCAAGTTGTTATCAACGCTCCGTTCAGAAGCCTGCATCACTGATGGTATGGGGTTGCATGAGCGCTTGCGGCATGGGCAGCTTGCATGTCTGGAAAGGCACCATTAATGCAGAGAACTATGTTCAGGTTCTAGAACAACATATGCTCCCATCTAGATGTCATCTCTTTCAGGGACGACCCTGCATTTTTCAACACGATAATGCCAGACCACATTCTGCAGCAATCACAACATCATGGCTACGTAGGAGATGGATCTGGGTACTGAAATGGCCAGCCTGCAGTCCAGATCTTTCACCTATAGAGAACATTTGGCACATCATAAAGAGGAAGGTGCGACAAAGAAGGCCCAAGACGATTGAACTGTTAGAGGCCTGTATTAGACATGAATGGGAGAGCATTCCTATTTCTAAACTTGAGAAACTGGTCTCCTCTGTCCCCAGACATCTGTTGAGTGTTGTAAGAAGAAGGGGGGATGCCACACAGTGGTAAAAATAGACTTGTCCCAACTTTTTGGGGATTTGTTGATGCCATGAAATTTGGAAACAACAGATTTTTCCCTTAAAATGATACATTCTCTCAGTTTAAACTTATGATCTGTGATTTGTGTTCTATTCTGAATAAAATATTAGATGTTGGCACCTCCACATCATTGCATACAGTTTTTATTCAAAAGTATATAAAGTGTCCCAACATTTTTGGAATCCATTTTGTACAAGAGTACTTTAAAAAAGAAAATGTGGTAATGCTAATGGTATGCTAGTATTAGATTTTCAGAAGGACAGGACTCATCACCCTTGTAACCAGTCGTGATATTTATTTAATTACTTTTATACAAATACTATAGTTTGAAAATATATATTTTTGTCACATATTAAAAAGCACCAAGAAAAAAATGTAAGAAAATTAAACCAAACTTTCAAATTCTTCTTTTAGGCTGATAGTTGCAAGAGACATGCAAAATGAGTCCAAAATGAAAGCGCTTCTCTTATTAGGAAAAAACAACACGAATTAAAAAAAAAAATGCTGAGAAATGTTTTAACAGCTACTTATCATGCAATCCAAATGTTGACATACCTGATCCAATACCAGTGCTGAACAGCTTTTCTTCCAGTTCTGTAAGGGAAGTATCCTGGAGGGATGATTGTAGGGATGACTCTTTCGAACTGTCCTCATCTGTGGCCAATTGGTTCGCATCTTGCTCAGGCATCTCAGGAACACTAGAAGTCACAATATTCTCATCTTGTGTAAACACTGCAACAGGGGATCGCAGGCTCACAGGGCTGTTGGTCTGTGATATCTGTTGGTCTGTGGTGCCATTAGTGGAGGAGTGGATTGATGTGGGAAGAAGCAAGACATTTGGCTTCTTGGGAACTGGAGGAGGAACCTGAAATTTTAACAATAGTTCCACTTTAGAGATGTGTGGAATGACATAAAAAGTCTAATGCAAGTGATAACAAACATTCATAAATCTATATGGCTTGCCACTACTCTATCAAAGCATAAGATCACACCTTAAAAAAGGGAGCAACTGACTAATATCTTACCTTGGGTTTCTTTTTGTCAGACAGCTCTGCCAGGCAGAACATTGCCATCCGTGAGGGGAGTGTCTTGCTCTTGTCCTGGAGGTCAAGGGCTTCCTGGTTACTGCAGGGTGAGGGGAGGGAGCCTCCATCCTGTGGGCCAAGATGTATGTCTGATTCACCATCAAATTCAGGTTCTAGCAGTGGGTCTTCTAGAAGAGGCTGGGGGTCTGGGAGAGGAGGGAGATCAAAAAGAGACTGGGAATGAGGGAGAAATTGGTGGTCATAGGAAGTCTGTGGCACACTGGTGGAATTTGAATCTGGAAGAACAACAGGACTTGTTGAAGGTTGCGGTGGTGGTTTTTTAGGTTTGGGCTTTTTCATGACTTTGTAGATGTTGCCTAGAGGTACCGGCCGTTCCACAGGTGAGGCTGGAGGTGAGTCAAGGGCAAGTGGAGAGTTAGAGGAAGGGGAAGGAGACTTAAGAATGAGATTTATAGGTCGTTTGGGCAACGGAGGCTTGACAGCAACAGGTGGCTTGAGTTTCTTTAGAGTTGGTGGTGGGCTGGGGTCTTCACCAATGTCTCTGCCATGTTCTTCTTCAATTGTGTCAGAAGCCCCATCTGGACAGTCCTCTAGGTCACCACGGGAAACAGAGCGAAGTCTTATGGTCTTGAGCTCATTCTGGGTAACCACAGGCAATGCCTGAGATGAACTAGGACTGATTTTTCCTGGTTTTGGAGCTGTGGAAGTGTCAGAATGCCGCCTGCTAGCCTTTTGCTTTGGCTTGATTGATGACAGCTCCAGATGTGCATTCCCAGGCATTTCAAAGGACAATCTAGACCTGGCAGTTGGGTCCTTTGGAGATGGTAGTGATGATTTCCTCTCTGGAATCTTTGGGCGCATCCTACACCCTGTAGTTGGGTGTAGAGTTGGGGTGGGAGTCTCTGACTGACTTGAGTAACCACTTGATGGTGAGATAAGTCCTGGCGGTTTTAAGGGTGAGGAAGCCTTCACATCAGTCTCCATAGAGAGCTGTGAAGGGGAAGTAGCTCTGGAAGTGGAAGGAGAGTCCAGTAGGGACTCTGAGCTACTTCTGACTTTCATACATTCAATTACTGTGGTACCTGTTGCTGTGCTGGAGCCTGACAAAGACCTGGGGAGGACAGAAGATGACACAATTGAATATTACGTTGCATGAAAACAGATGATTCATACACACACATGACCTATTCAGAAAACAGTTACACAACAGAGCAAATGCAATCTCAAATATTCATTTGGAGCTTTGTTTACCTGTAAGGGTCATTGCTTTTCCATTCTCCCAACTGCCAGTGAGAAGGAAATGTCAAGTCTGTTTCTCTTTCCCCCTCTGGTGCTTGGATCTCCAAACTTGGAGGTCCATCGTTTCCCCCAGGGCCTGGTTCCCTTTCACAAACACTAGCTTTAGCAGAACAAGATGGACTAGGCAAAAGGAAATCTGGCTGAAAGTCTGGGAAGTGGTCCCTAGGTATGTGAAGGCTTTTTGGTCGGCCATCTCGGTAAAGACCGACCTCGCGTCGAATTCTTCCCTCAGCTTCCCCAAGGTTTTTCATGAGAGACACACTCCTGACAGGAGGTGGTGGCTTGCGCTTGGATTTCTTAAGTGAGATGGACCGTGAGCGAAGACGCAAGCGTCCTTCTGCACTGTAGTCTGAAGCAGAGACAGAGATTGTGTCCACAGTACTTGCACTGTCTTCAGAACTCCCTCTAGGGTAGAGGAGGGCATAGTTTTCCCCATAACCCTGGAAATAGTGAAGTTCCTGATGATTTATTGCCATAGAGTTCCCATTTCCAGTAGAAACAATATTCATGTCTTGGTCTATGCTACCCTCTGTAAAGCAAAATGAGCCAGAATCAGTAGGTGTGGAAAGAGAACGCTCTCTGAACTTGAAGGCATTCTGTGCTGCTATGGACCTTGCAGACCTCTCCCGTCCTCGTCCTGTATCTCGACCACCACCTCTCCCTATGTCTACAGCCGCCCCTTCTGTTTCACTCCGCTTTCCCATCATTACAGCTGACACACTGTTTCCTGTTCTCTCAGATGGGTCTGTCACAGATGTGAATGAGCTGGAATGTGAGCTCACCGACTGACTGGAATGTGAGCTCACCAGCATAACCCCGTCCTGCGTCCCACCTGCGTTACCAATGATGTTGTGCTGCTTTGGAGGTACTGCTGGACCTTTGCTCATGCTGTAATTGTAAGGCTCATTCCATGCTCCAGGAGAAAAGGTGGAACCTTTTGGTCCATTCCATGAGGCAGAAGGTGTGTTAGAACACAGCAACCCAGAGTGGTCCATAGCTCCTTGGCAAAGCTGGTCCTGGGGACGCTGCCCCAAATTGTTATCTGTAGGTGGGAGTGGGAAAGAATTGATAAAATATTGTCTTCAATAATTGAACAAAGATATACATATGTATAACATACATACTTTCAAGGAACAATGTTTCCACATAAAAACTTATGGTAATAAAGAAAGCAGCAGTCAAAGGGGTCAAGGGTTATGAATGTTTTATTGTGTTTTTCTGAGATGGCTTAGAAAAATATTTTTGTCTGCCCTGAAAACTGACTGACTACCAAAACACACTTATCTCACTCTCGTGGCTGTCTCGCTGACTTGTGGTGCCTTCTTGGCATCATCGCCATGAGAACATGCCCAAAACATTCTCTTATCTCCATCTAGAGGCCGACTTGCTGATGGCCATGGATCATGTCTGTGCAGATGACTGCAGCTGGCTAGGAAGGTATGTTCGCTGGACTCTGCTGCTGTATAAAAGTCTGCAGAAGACTATTTGATGCTTGTTCTGTGACATATTCTATGCCTATGCTTAATGTATCTATGTATATAATCTGTCTTGAATGGGTCCTTGCAAGTAAAATGCTAGTTAAAAATGTAGGTGAACTTAAATTGAATTTAGGCGTCTTGCTCAAAGACACCAAAACATGTGGGAATGGCTGAGAGTCGAACTGCGACCTTCTGGTCCCAGATCGGCTACCCTACCTCTACCCCATCTCGGTCCCTCACGGCCCGCCTTTACGATATGACTGGTGATTTATGAGGTAGCCTAAAGAGGAGCTCATCTTTAAAATCAGGTCAAACACATACTATGACGATGTCAGCTTTCATAAATGAATGACCACTTATGGTCACTGTGTGACCATGAGCATTGAAGTGGAGCATGAAGCATAAAAGATAGCTCCAATTGTAAATGCCAATGTTGGCTGGTCACATAGACTAGCTGTCATCACTTCAGTCTGAAACGATAATGTTGAATTGCCCTTATGGACGCATTCTCATCTACCTGCCAGCTGTGATCGAGTGCCTGACCACTGAGATCCTGGAACTAGCAGGAAACACGGCTCACGACAGCGGAAGAACAGGATCGTCCCTCAGCACCTACAGTTGGCTGTCCGCAGCTATGAGGAGCTCGGCAGACTTCTGGGAGGAGTGGCCATCGCTCTGGGAGGAGTTCTGCCCAGCATTCAAGCGGTCCTACAGTCCAGGGGAACCAAGAGGCCAGCCAAGTCTGGGTGGACGGATCGGATGGCATCTGCAGCCAGTTTCTTAGGATCCACTGTGAGATGGACCTTTACAAGAGATCCTTCCTGCCTACAGCCATCAGTATCTATAACATCTCTTAATGAAATGAGGATAACGAGTTACAACAACAAAATAATTTCCCTCTGGGATTAATAAAGTATTTTTGAATTGAATTTTTTTTGAATTACACATACCAAATGTTTCGACCCAATGAAGGCTTCCCTTGGTGACTAAGATATACAAAAGCAGTGAGTTGACTTCAGTCCCATAATGTCTCCTCAGTCCCTTTACGTAAATCACACCAAGACAGAAGGAAGCCATATCAGGCCCAGCTGAAATATAAATTATGCATGACGGTAAAGCCTGCTTGGAGTTTACTGAGCTAGGGCATCTGACTACATGTAGACTATGTGAAATATTGATTGGATTTAGAAGAAAAATTGAACAAAAGTGTGTGTTTGTGTGTGTGTGTGTGTGTGTGTATATAAAGATCCAGACTGGTGATGATGTTGCCTTTCATTGTAAGAAAAATAAAACATGTCCAATAATAATATAATAATAAATGATGTAACCTCAAAATAATTATAATTATCATTTTCAATTCAGAATTTGGCAGAAAAAATGAACAATTCACGATTTTTAGAAATAGTGAAAACTTTTCAAAAGGATGTAGGTCAAACTGCAGTATTTGAATTCCCATTTTAAAGGGAACTACTTTAAATATGTAAAAACTGTAGCTAAATGGCAGTCCTAAAACCACTGGCTTGTTTTTAACCTTTGAGCTATATTAAAATTTATTAAAGCAGAAAAAACATCTCATCATTTAACACACTGTAGTGTAGTAAACACAATATAATCAAGCCTTTAAACAAGTTTTATGGAACAAACTGTTCATAAAGCCTAAAAATGTCAAGACTATACATAAATTTGTCTGATAGCTAATAGGAAGAAACTAATTATTGCTACAAGTATAGCCTTTTGCTTTGTTCTGGCTGAAAGTACTGAACAAAATATAGGAGCACTGACAAGATGAACACCAGAAATATCCTCGGAATAAAAGATTAAATGAAAAACAGAGGAGGTAAAAGATTCTTCCAACTTTGCCACCAACCTGTTGTTACAGTTGTGTCGAGCTCCGAGTGTGTCTTCCTCAGTCGGAGCTTTTGATATGGAGTGTCTGTAACGATCTCCAAGGAGTGTGGCTGCTGAGGCAACACCTCCCCAGGAGAAGGGGACGGGGATGGGGAGTGTTGGAGAAGGTCAACTCCGTGGAATTTTACTCCTCCCCCTTCACCTGGAGGAAACAGACAGAATCAGGTCAGAGTGAGAAAGATCCTTTTTCCTAATGTGTCATAACTTCTATGAAACATTTAATCTTTTATGCTGCAAATAAAATTACATGTATAAGTTGATAACTATAAAACATAAGGAAGTGAATAAAACCAAACATACTGCAGTCATCCTTAAAAAAAAAAGAAGTCTTCTCAGTTTGTTACAACCAACTTATTTAATTAAGTATGCCAGTGAGTAAGCAGTGAACCACTCCTATACCTATCCAGCTGAAAACCCTAAATAAAATAATATAAATCAATGCATGCAGCTTTATTTGAATAGGGACTTTTGGTAGCAGTTTATGATACAGCATAGACATAATTTGCAACAAAAACAAATTTGAAAAAGGTCACATTATTAACAGTAGAATTATAAAAAAAAATACACTAAACATTACTTTATAGCTCTTTAGCTCAGGTGTATTTCAAAGTAAAGACATCATTCAAAATTTCTATGGCTCAGAGAGATGAGCTTTACATGACTGTACAGACATTTTGTTCTCTTTACTGATTTTACAGTCACAGTACAACTTATTTTAAATGTTTTAACACCAAATGCTCAACTTGAGTGTGATACAATAACTTTTAACTTGTCAAAACGTTCTTAAACTTTTCAAACTACTCTTATTTCCTTAATCTCTACATGCCATACAGTTTTATTTCACCCAATGTGTCTCTCACTGCCATGGGACTTATGATATTCTTTCAAATCCTTAGATGGTGAACATTATAACTCCCAGTGACTTCTACTGTATCGGAGTTCAGAATCTTTCTATAAAACTGAAGAGTCTCCAACTTGTCATATCTCCTACATGAAACTCTATTGATGCCCGGTTATGGACTTGCGACATGTCCAGGGTGTACCTTGCCTCTCGCACATTGATGGCTGAACATGGGCAGCAGTGACCCCTGCGACCCAAAAAGGAAGTAAAGATAATGGATGGATGGAAACGTGATGAGAAGAGATTTTCCCTTTAAGAGCTCAGATTCATCCATCTATCCATCCATCCATCCATCCATTAGCTTTTGCGTGCTTCTTCCTTTTTGAGTCACGGAGGTCAATGGTACCCATATCCAGCAATCACTGTGCGACAGATTGGTGACACCCTGGACAGGTCTCCAGTCCATCGCAGGGACACTTAGAGACAAACAAGACTAACAACCATTCACTCTCTCACTCACACCTAGGGACAATTTAGAGTTACCAATCAGTCTAACATGCATGTTTTTGGTCTGTGGGAGGAAATCCGAGTACCCTGAGAAAACCCACGCATCCACAGAGAGAATATTCAAACTCGACCCAAAAAGGCCGCAGGTCGGGATTTGAACCGGTGACTTCCTTGCTGAGGCAACAACTCTACCAACTGTGGCTGAGCTCAGATTTGTTTTTTTGAATGCAGTAGTCCCTCATTTATCGCTGGGGATCCGTACCCTGAAGAACCTCAATAAGTGAAAAACAGTGATGTAGAAATGGTAGTACAAATATTATATATATATATATATATAT